CACAAGCCTGACAGATCTTGAGGGAAGAAGCTCCATCTGTGTTCTCCCCCTGAATAGCAGATGCATTTAAACTGAAATAGGGGAGATTTAGACTAGATAGAAGGAAGAAATTTTTTACATCGAGGGTGGTGAGGCACTGGAAGAGGTTGCCCAGAGGAGTTGTGGCTGCCCCATCCCTGGAAGTGTTCAAGCCCAGGTTGGATGAGGCTTTGAGCAACCTGGTGTAGTGGAGGGTGTCCCCGCCCATGGCAGGGGGGTTGGAACTAGATGATCTTTGAGGTCCCTTCCAACCCAAACTGTTCTATGTTTCTATGTCTGCTTTGGAAAGTCTGTGATAGAGAATGGCTGGAGCAGGGACCACCAGGCAAAGAGTTTCTCCTGAGCACCAGAACTTGCCACCCAACTGACTTGATCATGGCAGGAAAGAACCCCTAAGCTGCCAGTGTCCCTGGGGCCAGACCCTTCCCATTCGTTTCTGCCCGATGCTCCTAGTCACTACCACAAGCCAAAAAAATGCCAAAAACGGGAAACGGTCTGGGAGGAAGAACTCTAGCTTGCAAGGACAAGCACACGCTCCCCACGTGTCTGGACACACACTTAGCCACGTACACACAACCAAGAGCCTCCCTGGCTCAAGGTAGCACCTGAGCACACAAGTGACCTGCAAAAGCGGCCAAAATAACCAGTTTTGAGCCCGTTCCTGGGCACACAACAAAGTCAAGTCTGTGGGACCCAGCGCGACATAAAGTAAGGCTGACCCACGCGACCTCTGCTTCGCAAGTCGTAAATCTGGGGTGGAATTCCTCTCCCTTTTCTTTTTGGTAAGCGTTTCCCTTCTGCGCGATGCAATTGGAAGCCGGGCTGCCATCGTCTCAGGTTGGGATTTGGGTAGGAGGGGGAGGGACCTAATCCTTTTTTCATCACATTAAATTAAACTATAAACTATACCTTTTAATTCCTTCTAATTAAATTTCTCGCTGGAAAACGGAAATGTTATTTCTATAGTATTTTTTCACAAAACATGGCTGGAAGCACTTTAGAAGAGGTGTGCCCCGGAGCTGCAGGCAGCTATCCGGGGCGTCATGGGACATGCCTGGGGCCCTCTGAGAGCTGAAGACCATTCCACGGCTGGCAGCTCCCCAGTCCATCACACGTACTAGACTGACTGGCCTCCACATGCCTTCGGACTCTGGGAAGAGGGGAGAGTGCAATTTCAGCCAAGCCAGGGTCCAGATGAACCTTTCTGCAGCCAAGATACACAAGGTCCCAGTGATAGCCCATCCCCTTGGACTCTCCCGGCAGAGAAGGATGCATTCCCAAAAGCCCTCGGAACACCTAAGCAGCCCTGCAGCTTCGGCGTTTTAGGCAGCCACAGTCCTGCCCTCCTCTTCTGCAATCTCAGGCTGCGGTGGTTGCCTCCTCAGTGGATGGATCCAAAGTTGCTCTGGAAAAAAAAAATAAAATAAAAAAAAACCACTGAGGCTTTTTAATTTTTAAAGCAAAGCTGTTTGGGAGCCCAGTTTCAATCAGCTTTCAATGGGCTGCATCTCCTAAATCATGTAGGGGCTGGCTGGCTTACAAGTGCCAGGCTCTTCCCTCCCAACACAGAAATACAGCTCGAGCTGTGCAATTCTAAAGCATTTAAAAGTAATTGGCATTTTCCCCCTTACGTTCCAAGATGTGCTCAAGGGAAGTAACCCAATAAGCAAGAGACCGTCTCTGAGGCCTCTGAACTATTCTGGCTTCAGAAGGAAGAAATCCAATACAGCAAATTGCAGCAAGGAGTCAGCTGAAAGGAAGGGCAGGCTACGAAGGAAGCAACATGTCCCTCTCCATCCTCCTGGCACAGCAAGCAGGAGGAGATTCCATCTGCTCTTCAGATTCCCAGCAGCACAGCAACCCAGTAGCGCTGAGCCAGACCAGAGGGAGCTACGGCAAGGTTGGGCACCAGCTCAACAGCACAGAGGAACCCAGGTCTGACTCGAAGACACATGCATTGTGGTTGTGTTGGAGGTGGTATGTCCGGGGTTGCACACCATGTGATCAGGAATTTCAGATTTCAAAGTAAAAATAATGACACTGGTGTTCCTTTTGTCCGAGCTGGTGAGAACAGAGAGGTGAACAGTGGAGAAACGGTCTTCCCGGGTCAGCAGGTAGCCTGAAGCCACAGTTCAGGAAGAGATAAACCACACAGCATTTACATCCGAGGTTGAAACACAAAAACTCAAGTACCACCTCTGGCAAGAGCCACTTGTCTGCAAAACTCTTAATTTCACATCTACATGCCTCCAAGCAGGACCACGTCCCATCAAGACCAAAACAAGAGCAAGCCCTGCCCCTGAGCGAGCTGGTTGAATTAAAGAAGCTGGCTCCATCTGGAGGGTACCAGCAGGGAGTGAGAATTTGGGAGACAAGGGGTGTGCACAGCCTGCTACCCCAGAGCATCTACCACTGTGATGGGTGAGGAACCCTGGCAGATAGCCTCCATGAGATGGGAAGAGGCACCTGATCTTGTAACTAAAGTGCATGTTCTGAAACAGAAGGAGTCGTAACTTGTGGGTGGGTGAGACAAATCTCACAACTTCAGAGACTGGCGAAGTAAGCAGCCTTATCTGAGCTTTCTTGCCTGAGGCTACTCTTGCAGACAAGGCAGAGAAATGGGCCTCTCTAGGAAGCCCTATTTTGAGCTCAGCCTGACAACAAGGTGAGTTGAAGAAAGCTCAAGAAATGGGCTGAATCTAGAAGCAGCCTACCCGGCCATCACATTTGGACTCAGGACACCTGGCACTGGTGCCTCCAGAATTGAGGGTTGAAGTTCTAGGTGGGAAAGGGTTCCTCATAACCACAGTTGGACCTTCTGGTACCTAAACTCCATCTGAGTCCCATTTCATGCACTTTAACCCTTCAGGCTTCCTTTCCCCTGCACCATGGAACACAGAACTAAGCCTCTTGCATCTCCACCCTAGGCAACTGTCTCCAACGGCCAGAGCACTCACTGATGTCCTCAGATGGAGATCTCTGAGCTCACCCCACCATCCCCTTCCAGCCTCCTCTGCCCCTGGACCTGAGTCCTCCTGATCTGGGGAGGTCCTGCCACCTCACCAGTGTCCCTTGCTGGCTAGACAGTGTTTCAAGATCCTGCCAGCAGCTCTACCTTTTGAGCTGAGAAACACTCTCCATCCCTATCCCAGAGGGGCTGGCGGCCACCTCCGGACCTGCACAAGACAGGAATGTCAGGCATTCCAGAAATACAAGTCCTGCTTCCCAGAACTGTCGGTCTCCATTAGTGCCAGAGGGGCCCGACAATGTAAGGGTTTTCAACCCCAAACCACTGCACTAGCAGTTTCCCTCACTAACGAAC